TCGGACAAGTATTTTGGAAAAGATCCGGGGTATAGCCTAAGCTTATGTTAAAACAAGATTGAGCTTTGATAAACTATATTACTGGCTTTACCTATTAACTGTTAAGTATTGGAGAATGTTTAAATGTTTGAACTACTACTATTTGTATTTTTATGAAGTCGTTGCTAAGTTTTCCAGCTTTTGTTATGAAAATATTTTATGAAGTCGTTGCTAAGTTTTCCAGCTTTTGTTATGAAAATATTTTATGAAGTCGTTGCTAAGTTTTCCAGCTTTTGTTATGAAAATATTTTATGAAGTCGTTGCTAAGTTTTCCAGCTTTTGTTATGAAAATATTTTATGAAGTCGTTGCTAAGTTTTCCAGCTTTTGTTATGAAAATATTTTATGAAGTCGTTGCTAAGTTTTCCAGCTTTTGTTATGAAAATATTTTGTCACGTACAACCGTTGTCTGCGCTTGGTGTATTCAGAACAGCGACCTTTTACAATCCAGAGGTGGTACGTCACACTAATTACAGTAATTAATGCCGGTGTGTTGCGTGGGACGGGTCACCATTTGTCAAGGCCGAGGTCACGTGGTCACCAGCCGGTACAGAGCCGGGGATCACGTGGCACGGGGTTCCACTGCGTCATGTCAGGAGATTGTGGTCAGCTGACATAGATTGGTGGACGTCACAGCGATGACGTCACAGATTCATGCGCACCTCGTCGTCATGATGAGCGTAATATTTTCTTTTGTATTCCCAAACATTAAAGCGTCAAAAACATAAATTAGATTATATCACAGTGATAATTTTCGCTTTTACCCCAAACACAAAACGTCCTTGCTAAAACAAAGTTGAAATTAAACCGTCATACGAATGCTGTTAATATTTAATGATTAAACGTTGAATTGTTTTTACTCACACCAACTAAAGACGCAAAGTTCAATTCAGTTCTCATTTTCAAAAGGAATTGTTTAGATTATTGGTATCGTTTTCATTCCAATTAGCAATTCATAACTTTATTATCAACCAATCAAGGCCCTGAATGGTGATATATTAAAACAACAGAGGGTGTCAAGACAGAGTTCTGTTCCTTCTTAAGTACAGACAGTGTATTACAAATTATCGTAGTTATTTTCTTTAGTCTATAATAAGAAATCAGATAATATCCCCAAATAAATAATATATACAAATACTATTTTTGTAAGCGTGGCGACAGACGTTAACATCAAAACACAACACTGTAGACACATATAGTAACTTACAGATTAGACTTGACAAAACAAAGATTATAGACAAGTTCAGTAACTTAAGCCGTACGTACGTGAAAAGAGCCGGCAGACTTCGGCTGATTAATGGCAGGGATTGTTCGCTCGTTAGCTCTGTGACGGCGGCCCTACGGTGGGTCATTCATCTCTGGAAGCCATGCTTGTTTATGGGATGGTCGTGTGGAATTCTCTCGTGAATTTTACGGGGTTTGGAGTCTAGTGTGTTCTACATACAACATCAACAAAATCATGGGCAATGTTGTCGTTACATCTGTGATTGTTTGAGTTTTGGGGGTCTATGATTGTTAGGGTTTGGGGGTCTGTCATTGTTAAGATTTGGGGGTCTGTCATTGTTAAGGTTTGGGGGTCTGTGATTGTTAAGATTTGGGGGTCTGTCATTGTTAGGGTTTGGGGGTCTGTGATTGTTTAAAGTTTGGGGGTCTGTGATTGTTAAGATTTGGGGGTCTGTCATTGTTTAAAGTTTGGGGGTCTGTGATTGTTTAAAGTTTGGGGGTCTGTGATTGTTAAGATTTGGGGGTCTGTCATTGTTAGGGTTTGGGGGTCTGTCATTGTTAGGGTTTGGGGGTCTGTGATTGTTTAAAGTTTGGGGGTCTGTGATTGTTAGGGTTTGGGGGTCTGTGATTGTTTAAAGTTTGGGGGTCTGTCATTGTTAAGGTTTGGGGGTCTGTCATTGTTAAGATTTGGGGGTCTGTGATTGTTTAAAGTTTGGGGGTCTGTCATTGTTAAGGTTTGGGGGTCTGTCTTTGTTTGGGGTTTCTGTGATTGTTAGATGTTGGGGTCTAGTGTTTCCACATACAGCAGCGAAAATTATGGACAATGCTGTAATTTATTATGTGATTTTTAGAGGTCTATATTGTACGACACACATATCAACAAAAATCATAGACAATGTTGTATTATCTGATTGTGTTAGAGGAAATGTGTTGTTTCTTAAATTAAAAGATACACGTTTGACATATTAACTCTACTTGTTCTCAACGAACAAGGAGAATAACTGCACTCGAATTTACGATAATGTTTTTTTCGCTTCCATATCTCAGCATTCTTCAACTGTATGTGCCATATGGCCCGTGGACTCCGACTTCAGCCTGCTTTTCTTCCTGGATTTGCTTCCATAGCCTGTGTCCACCCATGAACTATGCAAGTCAGCAGTCTCTGGAATTTCTCTCCTAACTCGGGGTTTTTGGAGTTAGCCTGTATGCGTAGTCCTGCCCGACAACGCTGTCCCTAATATCTCAGTTATAGCAAGAAAATTTTAAGTTACACCCCCCCCCCACCACCCCCACCTTCCCATGCTAGTTAGAACGACAACTACAAAAAACGGCCCAAAGTGAGGATCAGATTGAAGATGCTGTACTGAGAATTGGCCAATCATCAACAAGCTAATTAACCAATCTTAGACACTGGTCATTAGTCCAGGTGGTCAGCCTGGAATACTTCTCAAACTCTAAATGTCCAGTCTTCACCACCATGACCCTCCACCCCACTCGAGACTGGCAACGAAGAAATCCCTGAAAGAAACTCTGCTGTTGCTTCCTTTAAAGACCGTAAAGTCAATTCAACATAGGCAAAGAAACGGAAGATCCCAATCAGCAGATATCAAAGTAGTTATTTAATTATTTTAATGAATCATTTTGTTCAATTTAAACATAATGTAATAATTAACTATCTCATTTCCATTAAGGTATAATTTGGTATAAAAGTATGTCATTCTCAAAATGCTAAATAGTTGCTTATTCCTTTTTTTTTGTCATAGTGTAAATGTGATGTGTAATTTTTGTAATAATTTAAATATTTTTTTTTAATATATAAACTGAATTGAAATATTTTCAAAAATACAACAAATATGTAAACATATTTTTTTAATAAATTAAAATATTCTCATTGAACATGCAGCAATATTTTTTGAAATTTTATTTCCATTTTTTGTTGCTATGAAAACCACACACGCGAATCTGTCGAGGCGATACATTAGATGAAAGGTTGATGAAACAAAGTACAACAGCACACACTCATCGATCATGTCCTTATATGCTCGTATTACACACTCATTAATTATGCACGGGCTCTAATTAAAACATGATACCGTGGGCTATGGATGCGAGTAATCAAGGTTAAAAAACTGACACGTTTTGGTTTCAGTAATAAATTAATGTATAAATACAATGTAATCGTATCTATATTGGTCGGGCGGGGGAGGGAGGGGGTGGTTACTCAGTTACGTCATTTATACAACTTAATGACGGGATGATCCGCCATGTGACGTCATAATAACTGACGTTTTGTTTTCATGGCAACTAATATTATTATCTTTTCTGCTATCCTCCCTCAAAGCTGGTTCGTATGTCTTTCAAAAAGGAAATGGTTGAATTAGTTTTTCAGATCTCATCCACGAGCTGCTTAGGAGGGGGGGGGGGGGGGGGGGGTCGGGGAATGAGAGGGGGGGGGGGGTAATAAATATTTAATTTTTAATAATCATCCGTGAAACAAAGCCAGACGTATCAATCACATAGAAAATAGAACTTACAATATTTTAAAACATATATTGTTTCGTTTGTGTTTTTAATATGTAGAAGGTGTTGAGCAAAGTTTTGAATAGATAGTTTTTTTTTCACAAAATCAAACATATATTATTTTACATAGAATATAATACACAATTACATATTATACTTCTTGTATACCTTAGTTCAGGTATACACATTTTCATGCATACTCTCACCTCTTTTAAGAAGCATTCTTAGTTGTATTTGTTCATTGTCACTACAAAGGTAAAATTCATTTAGGCAAATTATGAATTTTAAAAATAATTTAAAAACCATTCATATTTTTTTTTCAAACAGAAAGTTGAAAATAAAAACGACAATTAAACAAAATTAATTGAAACGCCAAAGATTAATCATTAATCGTTAGTGATTGCAATCCAAGAAACGTACTTCATAATTTAGCGGATAAATTCGCCTAAAATTGCAAAATCAATTTTAAAAGAAATGTATTTTCATTGTAAAAATAGAATACAGTGTTTATATAATCATAGAAATGTATACCTATCAAAACTGAAACTAGACAAAAATTGTTACAAACTGTACAAATATTTATAACAATATTTAGCGTGAGTTTTTACACATCACGTGCATGTACAAATTATGCGTTTGTTCTTTACATATACACATACATGAAACGTCTGCGTCAGAAGATCAGAAAGTGCAGTTTCCGGCGGATATGAAAATATACTTTGTTGGTAATCTCGTTGGGGACATGTGAGCGACGGAATCGATTATATTTAGTTCACGATTCCGGAGATAATTCGAATACCAATGAGATTTTTTTTTCGTGTTGGCCGATGTCACCAAATGGCGCCTGATGGTAGTTAGTTTAGCCACTCAAATTTCATTGGTTGGAGTATTAGGGTTAGTGCGCATCCCAGCTGCGTCTTCCTTGGAGATTCGTCCTTGAACTTGAAACATAAAATCACAGATTAAACTGTACGATGTCATTTCCGGTGACGTAGGTGAAGTCTTATATACAGCTCTTTGAGCCGGAGAAGATGAGGTATAGTCGTTTTATACAAACATTGGTTTTTAAAACGTCATCGAAAAGTTTGTTGTTGTTGTTTTTTTCGTGTCCCCCGGGCTCAGTGGGAGATAGGACTGTGGGACATGTCCGAGGGTGACCCGGAGAAGTCGGACCCCACTGACCCGACCATGTCGTCCGAGTGTAAATACCCTCGATGCAGCATAAGCTCCCCGTGGCCGGGACTGACGGCCATACCAGGGTGCATCATCATATCGTGGTGGTGGGGCGGGCTGGGCATTCCTGCGTCCATGTGGTCAAACGATGACATCTGGGGACAAACAAAGCCGAAGGTCATGTCAAGTGTCAGAGGAACAGTATATATATATACATAATGTTATATATATATATATATATATATATATATATATATATATATATATATATATATATATATATATATATATATATATATATATATATATATATATATATATATATATATATATATATATATATATCTATTCGAGAAAAATAGGATGATTCATAATGGATTAAAATAAATATGGGATTTAAATTCTCACAATGCATAATCTACTCTGTTAACATACACATACTGGAGTCTAAAGGTTTTTAAGGATATAAGCAAATAAAACAACATATTTTAATAGCCAAACGAAATTAAGTATAAGGTCTAAGTAATATTTTTGTGAATATATGATTATAATGTTAGTCTAAGTAAAAGAAAACTATAAGACCGGAAGTAAAAAAACCAAAATGGCAACTGAGGAGGCAACACGGTGGTGGAAACAAAAGGATGAAGCGGTTGGCTGGTTATACATAAAACTTTTTTTACTAACATTTTTTTTTTACTGTTTGAAACAATATTTTACTGAACATTTAAACTGAATTGAAAAAAAAGAATGGTTGATATGAAACATCAAAGCAATTGACGAGATGATTGATAATTTTTTTTTGGTTGTTGATAAGAAATGAAAGTTTCTCCTCACTTTTTCATCACCACCATTATTGGTCCTCTAGATATACCACCGTATCGTCCTCCTCGTCGACCATCATCATCTTGGCGCTCACATCGTCGTCGTCGTCATCAATGTCGCTGAGAACGGCATGGCGCAAGTGATGATGTCGCACGAGGTTGGGCTTGATGGCGTGCTCGCCCAACCCCTCGGGCTGGTGGTAGCAGTTGAAGAAATTGGTGGGGTTGTACTCCAGGGGGTGGTGGAAGTTGTGGGGTTGCTGCGGGAGGAAGGGGGTGTTGTTCATAATGTTGATGTTGCTCACCAGTTGCTGGAAGGGCGCGTGAGGCTGGTCCATGTCCCCCTGCATGGCGAACTCGGAGAGAGCCTTCCACGGGGTTTGGTAGCTCTGGACCTCCACGGGGTTGCCCTGCATCCCGACGGGGGGCTCGTGGCGGACGGGGCTGGACGCGACCATCGGGACGCCCTGGAGCGGCCGGCTGAGACCGCCGCCGTTCTGTGGAAAAAAATTGGAAATTGATTAGTTTTAGCGTTACATATTTTCCGCAGTTAGCACCAGCAGTACATTTTTTAGTTACTTTTAACATTAAATTTATATTTAGTGGAAGCATCACATTTGTTACTTAGTTAGATTTAGCATTTCATTTTTTTTTCTTCACTACAATTTAAGTTTTAATTAAATAAATTTTATTTTAAACACCAATACCCATTCTTTCATTAAACTAAAAATTTAGTCTTAAATATAACAATGTAATTGAATTTTAAATTTACTCACTATGAATGTGGTAAATTATCCTTTAAAAATAGTAGAGTTTAATGAATTGACAATTGTTGAATAAGATTTAAATGATATGAAAACTATAAAATTGTCGGGGATTATGTCCCATAGTTGGGTGAGTGTGAACGTTGGTGTTTTCATCTAAAATCAATGTCCACGTCCCACGCTGTAGGACATTATGTCCAGCCTTAATGAATTGCTAAACAACGCACTGGACGGTCATCAAATTTCCAACAGCCACGCCTAAACTAGCCTCAGTGACCGTTCTAAGCAACGGGTCATTAGTTTCTACTGTTACGGCCTGGGAGACGGGGTTTGAAATCCGAGCTGACCCCCTCCCCCGGGGTAAACGATCTTAGCAAATGTCGCAGTGTGTCCAAACGATGAACACGGGGGTCGCGTGGACATTTTCCTCCCATTACTTGTCCGAGGGTTGGTCGTGATGTGCGGTGGGGGAGGGTGGGGGAGGGCAGGACGGTCCGGTGGCAAATTACACCTTGGGGGGACAGGGACCAGTCTTGGTCCAGCAGGCTGTTGTACAGCAGGCTGTTGTCCAGCAGGCTGTTGTACAGCAGACTGTTGTACAGCAGGCTGTTGTACAGCAGACTGTTGTACAGCAAGCTGTTGTACAGCAGACTGTTGTCCAGCAGGCTGTTGTACAGCAGGCTGTTGTACAGCAGGCTGTTGTCCAGCAAGCTGTTGTCCAGCAAGCTGTTGTACAGCAGACTGTTGTCCAGCAGGCTGTTGTACAGCAGGCTGTTGTACAGCAGGCTGTTGTCCAGCAAGCTGTTGTCCAGCGGGTTGTTCCGTAGTGGACCAAGATTATAATCCAAGTGTTTCTATTTCATGATGTTCGTTTGCTAGGTTAAACTAGTACTAAAAGATCTAGTTTATTTAAAAGTAATTTATTATTCACTTTATAGTGCAGTGGTGGTAATTTTGTTATAATCTATTACAACTGTTATAATTTATTATTATAATTTAGTGTTATTATTATTATTATTATTATTATTATTATTATTATTATTATTATTATTATTATTATTATTATTATTATTATTATCATTATTATCATTATTATCATTATTATTATTATCATTATTATCATTATTATCATTATTATCAGTATTATTATTATTATTATTATTATTATTATTATTATTATTATTATTATTATTATTATTATTATTATTATTATTATTATTATTATTATTATTATTATTATTATTATTATGAACATTATTATAAGCAGCAGCATTGTCATTGTTATCATTACTATTATCATCATAGTAATAACACTGGAGTTGTTTTGTTATGTTCTGTCTTCCAACTTTTTCAAACATCATTAACAAACCTAAAAAAACAACAAAATCTCTAGCATCGAGGCGGGTAATCCCTGAATGACGTCACGCCCGTGACGTAACAGCCCATTGTGTCGACCAAATCCCGGGGATAAGTTTTAATTTTCTTAAAACGCTCATAAGACCTTATATCGTGTGGAACCTCCATCCAGCTCACCCCCCCCCCCCCCCCGTCCCCCACCCCCACAGATTTTTGCAATCAGTATGGTCGCTTCCTGTTCCAACTCAGCTCTATTCTACGGCTGTGGCCGGCTTAAGATGGCCGGGCTAGATTCACATTATCATACGTGATCAGATCGAGGCTCGCCGGTAAGCCAAGGACATTCTACCTCAGGCTCCATTGAAGCCGGCACCGCCCGGCTTCCATACCAGCTCACAACAGCTTCTAATAATTTATTTCGTTCCTTTTCTGCGAGACTTTGTTTTTAAACTTGAACCGGCCGGTTCCTCCGGCAATATCCGGCGAAGATGCCGACAAACGCACACAGAGAAAATACCACAATGGGTTCTACGTTGTTCATCAGAGGACGAAAAAAAATTAATCCGCGAAATATCGATGAGGTGGGTTTTATTAGGCTTAAAATGATTAAATTAAAATAACTAGCGGCTAATCGCACGACGTTACTTGGGTAATTGTTTAGGTTTAAATTTGTAAACAGATTTATTGAAATAACTAAAGGATATTGGTAGGAAAGTTACTTCGATACGTGCGCTCCCTCGCGTTCAACTCGGATTTTTAAAATGTGTCTTAAGATTTTAACAAGATAAGCTTTGACGATGTGCAGTATTTTACAAATTTTGTAACTTTGGTTTTTTACAAAATTATTTGTTGTAAATTTTTTATATTTTTTAAATTATTTTTTTTTAACTTTAGGTTTTACATAATCAATTAATGAAGTATTTACTAGCTTTATCGTTTCAATTTACGACCAAAAAATTGTACAAAATTTGATATCGGTATTTTTTAACTTTTGTACATGTGGATTTTTAAAATTTTGATACCGTAGTTTTTTTTTTTTTTATAAATGTTGTTATCGTCTTTTTCAGGTGAAATATTTTTCTATTTTACTTTTTAAACTTTGGTCAATTACATTTTTAAAATGAAAAGTATAAAGACGAAGCATTATATTTAAAATGTATTTCTATGAATTATGAAGAAAATTTTTAAAATTAATAATTTTTTACTCCTAGACTCCTGTTACTTCCTAACTCTACCTCACCTGTGCCTGAACATTGAAACATTTCCTTTAAATACACATTTCTTTTTCAACATACGAAAAATAAAAGATCCCATACTTATACAATTATTTGAAGAATTTATAACTAGGAGTGATACTAAAATTTAGTTTTAAATGTAATTTTAAAATAAAGTATTAGAAATGTACTGAATTAAAAACTGATTTCAGTCTTTCCCCCCCCCCCCCCCCCCCCCCCACACACACACACACAATCAGCTGGTAGAAATTATTTTCTTTAACTTCATGAAGCAACGCGAGGGGGGAATAACTCGGTGCACGCCAATGGTTTTCTATGGCTGACTGAAGTTGGTTGTACCATTGGGGGAGGGTGAAATGGGGCATACCATACACACGACAGAGGGAGGAAAATCTATAATTTAAATATAAAATAAAGTGAAAATGTAAAAAAAAATATTCTAAAATATATTCAGGGGATGGCGAGCTGTATTCGCGGAGAAATCAATGCGCACAAGAAATGAGATCCAATCGGCAACTTCCGGAATCGCTCCGCCGTGAAGGGCTCTACTTCACACATTGATTACGATTTATAACGGTTTCATTATTCCCGTTTTTTTTTATTTCCTCCAATTCTTCAACATGTGTGAGTTAAGTCAAGTTTTTCTTTCTTACCATCCTTCAACGTATATGACTCAAATGGAGATTGTATTTCCTACCATCCTTCAACGTATATGACTCAAATGAAGATTGTATTTCCTATCATCCTTCAACGTAGATTACTCAAACGACTGTCTAAAAACACCCTATTCTTTCCTTCCGTACCTTAGAGTATTATATGATTTAAATAAGTATTTATTTCCTCCATCCTTCAAAATGAGTGAGTTAAGTCAAGTTTTTCTTTCCTACCATCCTTCAGAGTATTATATGATTTAAATCAATCAAGTTTTTATTTCCTTCATCCTTTAGTGCATATGACTTAAGTCAAGTTTATTTTTTATTTCACCCCATCATTCAACGTGTGTGACACACCCTTGTTTTGATGTGTGTATGTTTGTGTGATATGGCTAAAACAAATGTAAGAGATATCACATTACATACAATTATTTATTTATCAAAATATTTGCTTTAGGCGTCTAGTCAATTTTCAATCAAGTTAATAATTTAAATCTCTGTAAACGTGTGTATAGTTTAAGATAAATAAGGTTTTAAAAATTTTAAGTTTTATTTTAAATATTAAAAAAATATCTTTAAAACCTGGACATGTTAGTAATGATGTATGAGGAAAACTTTGAAGAAAATTTGAAAAAAAAAAAGACTTTTATAATGACTTTGCATGAAAATTATTTAGCACTTAATAGTGTTCAAAGCAAATCCATTAATTTGTTTTTATTTTTCAAAATGAGTTGACAAAAATTTAATTTTATCGAATGGTTCACGAAATCCGAATTATTTACGACCGAATAACGACCACCAGTTAAAGGGAAAAAATGTTGCGACTCATTGTCTTCTTCGGAGTTATAACCCCTGCTAAAATATAAACCGGAAGTGAATTCTGGGAACGGCTTTACGGCGTGTCGTGTCGGTAGCTGCGACGGTTTCGGGTTCTATTCATATGCAGAACCGGCTCTTGGAGCGGGGTGGGGGCAGGCGGGAGCTGTTACAGAAACAAAAGAAATCTTAGCAGTAACAAACGTCTCATTAATTCGCGCTTAATGAAGCTACAACGTTACTAACGCAGGCGCGTGCAGTCTCGCGAGAAAGAAAAAAGTTAAATTAAAATTAAATCGCCATTTTGGTGAAACTGAAGCGAATATGATAAACATGAAAATGCGTTATGTTGCTAATTTGCTACACACGTGAGTAATTTTTTTTCTTTATCACATTAAAATAAAACCGTTTCTTTATTTCTATGGGTTTTTATTAATTATTCACCATTCATTTATTGAAATCGTTCAATTCAATGACTTAATCCCGCAGTCACCGTATGGATCTGCCATTCAATAATTCACGATCATTCACATCATACAATACCACGGCGTGCTTGTGTAGCTCTACTCGCTTATCCACACTAATTAACTCTTTTCCTCACTAGCAGCCGATGTGAATGAGCACTAACGTCTGCTCACGGTGTACCCCCCCCCCCCCCCCACCCACCCTACTA